ATTTATGAATGATTAGAACCCAAAGCATGCTTAGGATGTGATACGGAGAACTTCAAAATTGGTCAATGGGGTAAAACAACATATGTTTAGTCAAATTTGTTTTTCTTATAAGTTGGTATTAGGCCATGTATGCTAATCATATGTTAATCACACAAGGGTTTTCTAGGATTCCAAGTATTGTCACATCATCATCATCGTCAAAGTTTTTTTTTAATTAATTTGGATCGGTTATGCGAATTCTGATTTATTATTTTGGGATTTACTATTCTGCTTTATTAAAAGTTGTACTTTTAATGAGCCTATAAACTTTTATATCTTTTTTCAATACTTCCAAACCGAATAATTAAACAAGATTGGTTTGATGCTTCACGTGTAGCACTTATTTAAGTAAGTGGAGTCACCCAAAAGCCATCTTAGAGCACAATACTTAGACAAGGATGGGTGCTGTCAACTGAAAGCGGATGGGTGGTGTCAACTGAAGCACTTATTTAAGTGGAGTCACCCAAAAGCTGTCTTAAAAATGAATTTTGGACTTTAAGTTTCACATGTTGATATTCTAAATCATCACAATCATCATTATTTTAGTTTTTTTTACAATTAATTGAGGTCGGCTACATAAATTTTAGTTATATTAAAAAGCAATTTTATTAGTGAGGCTATAAATTTTTATATTTTTTTGGATTACATCCAATCATGTTTTTTTTTAATTTATTTTTTACCTTTTTTAATCCTTTTACTTGAAGTCATTCGCACCACTTAAATCATCACAATCATAAATCTAAAAAATTAAATAGATTTGAACCTTGAAAAAGATTGTTTAAAATTTAATTTTCGACCATTCACTTTAATTCTGTTAAATCTAATAATTGGCACAATTTTTTTGTGCTGCAAAAATATAAATCTAAAGTATAAATGCAATAGGCTTAAGGTGCACTTCAGCTCTAAATCCATCTCTAAAATAGATGTTATTCAGACTTTTCCGGTTGACAAAACATATTAACTGCCAAATAATTATCCATTAGACACATAGATTTGTGAATGTTTTATTTTGTATCAAGTATCAATCGATTTAAACATCTAAAAAAATTGAAACAACACAGAGAAGATGCCCCTACGCGGGGATGGCACACAAATTGAGAAATGACCCAAGTATTCACTGGGAGGAGAAGTTAGGGATAGGAACATCCTTGGGCTTTCTGTTACGAATTTCATATTTGGATTTTTACGAATTTCATATTTGGATTTAATTTCATATTTGGTTACGAATTTCATATTCGGAAATGGCATGGCTCTATGTTATGATCATTTTTGGCCCAAAAAAATGAAAATATTGAAACTGACTGATTTTTCTTTTTTGGATAATTCAATGGGGAATACAAGCCCATGTCTATTTTTTCAATAGATAAGAGAATTACATTTTGAAAGTATTAATTACGAGTGTGAATAGTATGAATGGCTACCACAATGTGATAACAGCGTGTGGGATGCTACCACCACAACCCTAACCCCTTTCCTAAGTGAAAGATGTTTTTGTAAACCAAATTGTAAGCAATTGCTCCATAAGTCACGCATAGCTCTTATCATTTTTATAAGCCAAAAGAATTGTATACAATAAAATCATTTATTTTCGGTACAATGAGATCACATTCACCCTTCTAAAAATGTAAATTCCAATAATCACTGAAAAGCAATTCTTCTATTTTTTTACCCTTTTGTGCAGACATTTCTAGCCCATGTTTTCGAACCTGGCTTGCATTGAAAACACCATGTAACAGTAGCTACTCACACGTTTTATCAGTTCAGGAGGACGTCAAAAAAAAAAAAATGGATGTTGTCAGGACGAATAGCCCTACATCAACCAAACTCACCCTAAAATTAGGACTATTTTAGGGGTGCATGGCATAGGTTAGTTACACCATGAGGATATCCACCATCCATTCCCAATAATGGACAGCTAAAATTCACTAAACACAATCATCTTTGATCAAGAGCAATCGTTATCAAGCGATTGATGTCGGAGCAGTTTTGGGTTTTAGGCTCTACAGAAAAAGCACTGTATTTATCATTACCACACAGGAAAATTCATCAGAATTTCACAAGGAAATATGGGAAAATCTTCTTGAGGAAATTATACAAATGAGCCAGATGAAAGAGTGCACGAGTCCTGAATTATTTCCTACTAACAAGTCCCGTATTTGGGATCTTTTTACTTCTTTCCCCCCCCCCCCCCCACGAAAATAAGGGAAATGCAAGCCCTTCCTCTCAAGAAATAACCAGCCTACCCCTGAATCTCCAACAAAGTGAACAAAAGAACGAGTAGCATCTCCTCTCTAGCTACTGTGTACATCACAAATCATGAAACCACCAAATGCTCGACAACCCACACAACCAAATTGCACAAGGATGATACAATGGCTCTCAAAAGATTCATATGCACAAAAGTGAATATCACTTGGATACAAAGATTTCCATTAGAAGAGAGAAAGAAAATAGAAAACCACAGGCTAATAAAATCCCCTTTTCTCTCCTCAACGAGGAGAGAGAGGGAAAGCAGATGTGAGAGAGAAAGAGACAGTGAAAGAGAGATTTGAGTCACCTTGGGCCGGATAATTCTACAGCATGAAGGTTATCTGTGGAATCTACAATCCACTCAGAGTTACGGGGTGGCCCAAGGTCCACCTCATTCCGAACGACCTCCACCTTTTGCCACTCCTCCCATCTCTCGGCGAGCCCATCCCCTTCTAACATTCTCACCACTTCTGACATTTTAGGCCTATCCATAGGGGACCCTTGGGTGCATAGCAGGGCCACCTGTATTAGCTGCTCCACCTCCGCCTCCACATAGTTGTTTTGCAGATCGGGATCCACCAAATTCTCCACCCTTTTCTCTTTCAAAAGCCCTTTCACCTGGTGAAAAGCAACACATCTCAATAAGTATGGAAAAGGACACATCTCAATAAGGATTGGAAAGGACAGGGATCTCTCACTCTCAGATAAAAAACAGCTAATACTGAGGCATTCAAAATACATTGAAAAGGATAATCTACAGTAAGTGGAGAGGTCCAATATTATGCCTATCTCATTACTAACACTAATATATGTAAAAATCTAAAAAAACATGTACCGTATAAAACCTAGAAACTCACTCAACTCGGCCCTGTTTTTGGGTGAATATGCAACTCATCCTTAAATACTACACAACTAAAACCTTGGAACTCTAGACCCCAAAGTAACTAAACCTGCTCTAAGATGCCAGGTTTTGGAACAGCAGCATTCAATCCTAATGTCCAAAAACCATGAACATCACTAGGTCGTCGAGCCAAATTACTCATTCAACAATATATCTCAAAGCTTAACTTTATCAAAAAAAAAAACAATGTATCTCAAAGCTCATTCATCCCAGCCATGGACCCTGCTGCTAATATCAAGAGCTATTATATGCACAATGACCTGTAGGATTTGGGTCAAGACTTGCTAGGGTCCCAAAGCCCAGAATCAGGCAATTTGACTTAGCCGAGTCTGCCAGACTCAGTCGAGTCCATCAGGCAATTTGACTCAGTCAAGTCCTAAAAAAACTAATAATAAAATCATGGGAATCAGTGAAAATCAGCTTGTTTTGTTCAAGTTGGACTCACCAAGTTTCCAAACACTGGTTTAAACTAAACCTCACCAAATATCATTATTAGCCTCAAAACAATAGTTAATAAGAGACTGCATGCAAAGAACATGAGGATGCAGAAAATATACAATGGCACGATAAAGAAGAGATTCATATGACTAACCCAGTCAAGCAACATGACATCATCATCATTTGCAAGCCGAGCAAGATCGAATGCCCTCTGTCCAGTGATCAGTTCCAAAAGCATAATCCCATAACCAAAAACATCAGTTTTCTCTGAAGATTTCCCTGTGGAAAGATACTCGGGAGCTATGTGCCCAATTGTTCCACGAACAGCTGTCGTGACATGGGTGTCCTTATAATCCATGAGCTTTGCTAAGCCAAAGTCTCCAACCACTGCCTCATAATCTTCATCTAACAAGATATTTGCAGCTTTCACATCACGGTGGATAATTTTGGGATCACAATGGTCATGTAAATACGAAAGTCCTCTTGCTGCACCCAAGGCTATCCGCTTCCTGGTGGGCCAATTGAGTGGTGGCTCTGCTTCTGGTCGCTCTGCAAAAAAGGTACCAAATTCCTTTCGAATCACAGTTCCATTCCATTAGTTGATATGCTCATGCCAAGTACAAAACTTAATAAATAAATAAAATGCATATCTTCTCCTCCCCTCTTATACACATCCAAATCGAGAAAATCCCAAGACAGGTAGAAAATCAGCAAGATTCTCTCTCTCTCTCTCTCTCTCTCTCTCTCTCTCTCACTCTCTCTCACACACACACACAAGCACACAAACCCACCCACATGTCATGAATTAATAGAGGCACTCAAATCGAGAATATTAATGGATATGCAAAGAATATGCAACTAAAGGGGCAGATAAGTACCCCTTAAACATGATGCAACACTTCCATTTGCCATGTAGGGGTAAACAAGTAACCGTTCGGTTGGCGTCATACAAAAGCCTCGTAGTCGAAGAAGGTTACGGTGCACAGCCATGCTGATCATCTCTACCTCGGTCTGGAACTGAAGCTCACCACCAGGTGTGCGCTCTTCTTTGAGACGCTTCACTGCCACCAATGAACCATCGGCTAGACGCCCCTTGTACACCTTTCCAAACCCACCTCTACCAAGAATATTCTTGTTGCTAAAACTATCTGTTGCAACTTGTAACTCCCGCAACGAAAACCGTTTAAGCTGACCTAAATGCACTTCTGGATCCTCTTCAGCTGCAAGAGTGAGAAACCAATATAGGATTTTTCTTTTCCTTTTGAAATACACAAGCCAGATTCGAGACTTGGAATGGGGGAAGCCAGATGGGAAAAGAATACCATAATCCAGTGGATTACAGAAAACAATAGTCCATTTGGATCATCACCGTTTAATCAAGTGACAGAGGGTAATAGAGAGAGTAGGACCACAAGAACAGGATATCGCTCCAGTGATGGGCCCTACTCTCCTCCATCAACATCCATCATTTCATTGGATGGGGATGGCCCCAACACACCATAGTTTTACTAGTTCATGTGATTAGTTAGTATACAATACTTTCCCTTAGTTGCCTATCTATCAACCAAATTTTGATGGATGTATTTACCAGGAACATCAAAAAAGTGTTCCTGCGGTTTCCTTCGTCTCCACCATGCAAAGCCAATGGCAGGTGCAGCAAATAGTAGAGCAGCACCTGCAGCAACTCCTCCGGCAATTGCTCCAGTACTAGATGCACTATTTCTTCCTGAGATGGAATTTAACACAAGCGAATAAGTTCCAAATAATGTGATTAACATAATTGCTTCAGCGCTCAAAGCACTAGGGTTACAATAAATTTAGATGCACAAAGCTGGTTCAAGTAAGGCTTAGCATTCTCTGTATTGTATTCTACCTAAGATGTAATTATTTAAAGGCATGAATCTACATCTAATTCTCGAATGCAGGAGTAAAGAAATTATGGAACAACTTTATCTAAACATCAGTAGCTTAGATATATGAAACCAAAAAGCCAATATATATAAGATCCATACAGATTGAAAAACTACCACCTTGGTTAGAAGCAGGTGGTGGGGGAAAGAATGGAGGAGGAGGAGAAAAAGGAGGAGCTCCTGGGCAAGGTTGTGATGTTACTGGACCACAAAGACCGCGGTTATTAGCAAAACTGCGATAAGGAGCCAAGTGTCAGAAATCACAAAATTAAGATAAAAACTGAAAATTTAATAGTAATTAAAAATGTAAAACTGACATTCAAAAAGAAAAAAATTAGGACATACATCAGAAAATATTGAAAACAATGTTTGTACCTGATGGGGGTAAACAGTGAGAAGGAGCCATTGGATGGAACCTCTCCAGATAAATTGTTGTTTGAAAGATCTCTGAATTCATGGGAGCCAATATCACAAGGAAAAGTACATGAGCCAAATGAAAGATTAAAAAAGGAAAGAAATTTAACAGGATAATGAAGAGACTGAGGATGAGGAAATGCACTCACAGTACTTGCAGAGCGCTGACATTAGTTAAAGACATTGGAATGCCGCCAGTGAGACTGTTGTTGTTAAGCCGGCTATCCTTCCACAGACAGTTACAGAGGCAATGCAAGATTAAGTTCTAGTAATAAAATGAAGAAAAAGTATATGCAAAATAAAAATCCAATTCATAGCATTGCCAGTAATACATGTATCTGCAATCATAAATAATCAAGGAAAGTTTTTCGGTGAGTCTGCCGATTCTAATGTCTTCCCTTGTTTTCAAGGATTCTTGGACCTGAACCATCCTATATCATTATAAATTCATTTCCACCTCAAATCCATGAATTTGGAGTTCCAAAAAATGGTGTAAATCTGATAACCTTTGAAGAATTGAAATGAATGGTCCAATAAAAGGTTATCAGATGACCAGATTTTAGGGGCCAGATCACAATGGATGAAGAGATGAGGAATGGACTCCTCTTAGATTTACACAATGCATAGATAGGTTAATTGAACCCCTTCTTTTGGAGATGAACGGTGGTAAGGGTTTTGTTTGATATGGCAAGCCAATTGAAGGCTTGGACTTTGAGGCAGGCAAGGAAAATCAGGCTCCATGAGCAGCCCAAGCCTCTAGGTAATGGCATTGAGCACATCAAGTTAGATGAAGGATCTCGCAGACCAGGAACTGCTCTAAGCGACAGTTTGGGACTGAATTTAGGGTATCTTTGGTCTGACACGATGTCTTCTGCAGAGAGGTTCTCAAAGGAGGTGATGACACAACAGATATTGCTGTGGTTTTCATATGTTTCTCTGTCATCCTTAATTTGAAATGAATCGGTTCTTCTGCAGTTTGCTATTTAGTGGAAGGAAGTCGCATTTCTATCACCGTCCTCTAGCCATTTGACTCTCTCGTGTCAAAAAAATTTCTCCTATTTGAGGGTATTTTGTAGGTCGATCCTCGAGGTGTCTCTTTCAATTTATTCCACAATTGAAATATCATTAAATTCCTCAAGCAGGCCTAGTTACTAGATTCCTGACAAAGAGATTTCTTTTTTGATCGGTAGAAAGCTGAAAGTCCTGGTCCCAAGCTATCAACTTCTGCCTCACAAGTCCTAGATTTTGCAGAGTTTAGTCACCCAGACTAGGACTTCGAAGGAGGACCACCATTGGGTATCAGACTTTGGAGCCTTTTGTCCTCTAACCACATCCTTTTGAACCTAAAGGACTGAGTACTGAATTGGACTGGTTTGGCAGCAAGAAGGATAGGTGTGTAAGTCAGAGACAAGTCTGTGTAAGGATCTAGAGTGGACTCCTCGGAAAAGGTCTTTGCAGGTTGGATTGACCAGAAATTTGTCCAACTTAGACAGAGTGGGGAATGATGAGTGGTTTGACGAGGTGTCGGAGACACCAATGAGTAGTAAGTTTTTTGTTTGGAGATAAAGGAAGAATTTTTCCATACAAGCGGTGATCCTGCCACCATGTTTATTTTGAAGGACAAGTGACTGACATTGATCACTGCAAATACAGAAGGAACATAGAAGAGATATTGGATATGATCAAGTTCTGCCCAGAAGAGGGCCCTGATGTTTGATCTTATGGGGGCTATAGATGGCCATGGAGTCTCGTATGAGGCCATTAGAGTTCTGGAAGATGCAAATGTAGAAGCTGGCAATAAAAGAGGCTCGTTGAGTTAGCACGGAGGTCCACCAGACCCAGATAGGACCACAGATGCCCTTGGCTTGTAAGAAGAATTACGCCACAGGTGTTCTACTTTAAACAGGCGGAATGTCTTAAAGACCTAATGATTCCTTTCTTGTTTCAGTACTAGTGAGGAGATATTTGTGGGTGCAATTGGATGACACTTCTTCTCGAGAGGTCATCCAAGCCCGGGATGTTCCAAGCAATATTTCTCAATTGGGAGGTGTCATAGCCATGATACAAAGGAGGCTGGTCGTTAGAAGGAATTAGGGAGGTTGGTGGATGGTAAGTGCTTTTCCTGTAGTGTCGTGGTCGAAGTTGGACCCACAACCTTTAACTTTCTCTTTTTTATTGGAGTTTGGGATGCCATTTGGAAATGTTTGCTCTGAAGGTGTTCATTACAGCATGAATGCAGCCACAGTAAACTGAGCATTACCTGTAGCGTTTGAGGGATGTTGCCTTCCAGCCTTTGAAATCCTTTCAATCTTGTCAATATACAGAGATGTAAAAATCTGTGTCTGAGGGTGAGGATCGGACATCTAATACAGGAGATGTATCCTCAGGAGAAGAATGATTCCAGAGACAGGAGAAAGGAAACTCCCCTAAGTTTTGGGGATTCCATGGGAGGGAAGCCATGGGCAAGGGGTTTGGTGATTAGGAAGAAGAAGAGGAGGCTATTGAATGGGGAACAGGGACTTTGATGGGGAATGGAGAATAGAGCTGATAGGGGATTGGACAGTATATTTTGGAGGGGAAAAGTAGAAAGATATGAGTAACCTTTTGTTAGGCCATGGTTGACAGGACAAGGAACCAGGTTAGTGGTATGTAGCAATAGCCTCTTGGAGGTTGGAGGCTGTGGCTTTAAGTTTAATGGTGGCATCATGCAAAGTGAGGAGTCTGGTATTAAGGGAACAGTTGGGAACTTAAAAAGGATTTGAACACGAGGGTGATGGGTGGGTGGACAGGTTTGGCCAAGAGAGATATTCATTATGGGATGAAATATGAGGTAAGTAACTGACTACCCCCAGTTACCCCACCATCCAACCATATTCTCCAAAAGTTTTCACTAAGGTCCATTGTGTCCCCACAATTGTTGAATTTTCAATTCTTTTTTTTTTTTTCTGAAAATGCGTAGTTGTTGAATTTTCCTTCTTTGGGTAGAGATTCAGCAGCTGTTCCTTTTTTTTTTGGCAAGGATTTTCTCCTCATTACCAGTTCCCAGACATTAGTAGGCTAATTTGAAAGATTTTTGCCACAGCTTAGGCAAACGAAGGAGGAGGCGGACCAGCTGTGATGCTTGTACGGACCAAATCTTGGCATGGGGGATGGAAATAATAGGGGAGCCAATTTGAGGTTTCACGATGAGAATTTGGTTATCTGGACATGGAACTCGGATTGCATCACAGAAAGAAAGATTTGAGGTTGGGATGCTATTTGAGTTGAAGATTTTGATGAGGAGGACCAGGGGAATTTGCAGCGGAGGACCGGTCGATTTGGATGAACTGCCACAGGACATCTCCAATGGCCTTCAAGATTTCAAAGTTCAAGGCATGGACAGGGATGTCCATGGCATGGATCTAGGTTTTAAGAGGGTGTGTTTAAGGAGCCGGATGAAGGGTGCCAGGGTCCGCTCTCAAGGAAGGTTACTCTGAATCTATGTCAGGTTGATCTGAGCATTCTATAGTCTTCATCTTGTGATTCTAGCAAAAATGGAAATTTGTCCCCCGCAAGCAGCCTGCAGGATGCCAGAGATGTGGTTCACCAACTTTTTGTTGGCCCAATCCATGATGCCTGTGATGCTGTGGTCAAGGGCTGAAGTATGGACAACAGCAGGTCTCATTACAATAACCCGTTCTGACGTTATGCTTTCCTTGATGATGTTTATGTGCCTGCTGTTGGAGAATAAGCTTCTGGCACAGTGTTGGTGGGTTGTGGTGCAGACACTTGAGGGTGAATTTGATTCGTAACTGAGGACAAAGTAGGATTTTGGGTGGAGTCCAGGATAGAGTGGTTGTGAAATGGAGGTAAGTGGTGTAGAAGGGCAGTGGAAGGGTTGAGGTGGAAAGGGTTTCTCGCTTGAGGATTTTGGAGATGAATAGGGAAACTTGGAGGCCCAGTGAGAAAGAAGTTTCAGACTTTCAGAAAGTGGGATGGAAGTAGGATGGGATATTTTATGTGATGTTGTGAGGAAACCGGGGGAGATACAGGTTGCGGCCATGAGGGGAAGTGTGGGACGATGATGATTGATTTTCCCTTGCCATCTCCTCATGGGTGTTCCAGAGTTCCTCTCCTCATGGGTGCCTCTAAGCTATGAATTTATTGCAAATCAAGATTGTTGAACTAAACACAGTGTCACAATCAGCAAAAGAAGACATCAATAGGAAATGCTTTGTAGAGACTGCAGATACTAAGAATCAAACTAACTAAATTAATGGCATACTTCTGGACAAAAAGAACTATACATTTTTTACGCAAATATATAACAAGATGGGCATACATGAGTGAACTATGAACAGAAAAATGACAAAAAAAATGAAAGACAAAGGATAGCTGTTCTCACAGGAACCGGAGCTTCGTGAGTTTGCCCAAAGAATTAGGGATGCCACCGGTGAATTTGTTCAAGTAGAGATCCAAGCTGACCAGGTTCGTCAAATTTCCCAGGTCACTAGGAATCATCCCACTTATGTTGTTGCTATAGAGTTCCCTACAATACAAAAAAATAACTAAATACTCCTTTTTTGGAAAGGTCAATCATAACTCAATACTTTGTGTAAATCTTTTCTTTTTCCTTTTTTTTTTTTAAAATATACAAAGAGACCACTTTTCTTTTAGTACAAGGAGGTCACAACTACTCTTGCCCGTCAGATTTCAAATGGGGTGGTTGCAAGAGTGTCATTAACTAGACTCAAAGTTCAAAAGAAATTTCTCAAACTTCGTGACAAACCCCAAGCCATCCAACTTGACATCTAATGGCTAGGAGTAATTCTGAACGCCTTATAATAAAGATAAATAATCTCATAGTATAGAATCCCTTTTTTACCACTCCATTTTCTTCTAATAATGTTAAATAACAAAAAAAAAAAGGCATTTGGCCAAACTAAAACGAAATATAAATGAAAGGAGTAAACTGTCTAAATCATATCAGACCACAAAATGACCCGACTCAGGCAATTTGACTGAATCACATGAATTGGACTGTCTAGGCCTAGTCCAGACAGGGAAATGCATAGATAAAACCTCCCCCCCTTCATCTCACGTACATAACCAATGAAGGAAACCATGACCTAACAAGTACTGCGAATTGTTGAGTTGACAAACTCTCTCTCTCTCCCTCTCTCTCTCTCTCTCTCTCCACGCACAATCAATGCAAGGAGACCATGGCTTACAAGTACTGCAAATTGTTGAGTTGACCAAGCTGTGGGACGAGAGAACCAGATAATTCAGCATTTCCAAGATCACTGCAGCAGAAGATGCATCAGTTAAAAGGAATACAATTATGTTATCCCCATATTAGAACATCAAATACCCATATGTGATGAATGATGAGTGAATGTCAATTTTCATCTTAACATGACTGAATATCTCAAACAGAAAAGATAAGGTCGGCCCTTACACCCTTATAACACTGTTATCGTTGTTGCATGTCACATGAAACCATGTGCATGGATTGACAAGGGTTGGATCCCAACTCTGAAGCACATTGTTTGGATCAACTAAATTAGCTCGTAGACTGTGGAGAGCATCGCCTATTCAAAGAGGTGCAAACAAATATTAGCACCAGCTGAAAAATAATGATGAAAGACAGTATGAAAGCACATTAATTAGAAAAGAGAGATAATTTACAAAAAAAAGCACCATTTAGGGGCAGTAAGCTTATCATGCCACTCTACATTCTGTATTATATGAACAATGCAGAAAAGGAACGATATTGCAATTAAGATATAGATGAAAACATATTGGCTCTTCACTTTATCCAAAAAGTTAGAAACTTGTTTTTCTTTGGAACACATTCAACATCGTTGCAAATAGAGAAGGGACAATCACAAATCATTTTATGATGCAGATATCTATTCTTTTTGACAGATAACATAAATAAAAGTGTCATATGTACCACATTATATTATGCAGAATATTGTATTTGATAATACAGACTGCAATAATATACCAGAATCTATAAAATAGAATAATTTAATTTTAGTTTTATTGTATAGTCTAACTTAATCTCTAGAGGATAAATAGTCTAACTTCAATAAATATGACACGCAATGTCTTGTATCAATTGTGTTTTTCTAATGTTACGAGAAAGAATGTACCTGTAAAAGTCATAAATACTTTGAAGCTATTCATATTTCATCATCATCATCATCATCCGAGCCTTATCCCAATCAAATGGGGACGGCTACAAGAATCTTGTTCTACCATTCTACTCTTCAAATGCCATACCCTCAGTCAAAGTATAAGTTACAATATCTCTTCTCACTGCTTTCATCCATGTCCATTTGGACCTTCCCTTTGCCTTTTTAGAATTCTCCACTTGAACTAAATTGCCCCTCCTAACCAGTGTTATATTAGATTTACGCTGCACATGGCCAGCCCACCTAAGTCTCATTTCCCTCATCCTATCGCCTATTGGAGCCACCCCTAATTTCCAAGTCTTGCCAGTCATCCATCTCAACATCTTCATCTCAGCTAGACTCACCCTATGGATATGTTGTTTCTTGACCACCCAACATTCCATCCCATAAAGCATAGCTGGTCTTTCAGCCATCCTATAGAACTTTCCCTTCAGTTTCAGTTGTATGTGACGGTCACATAAAGCTCCAGATGCATAATGAGTTTAGAGCCTAGTTATCACAACTTAGTTATACTCAATGGCTGATCTTTCTTTTTCATTGCCTATTGAAATGTTCAAGTCTTGTCAATCCGAGAACACATACAAGTTCTTTTTTTGAAGAAGATAGAACACTTGCAAGTTACAACCACATTTTCCTTCTTGTTTGAAGCACCATATCCCTTTAATCTGGCCCTTGAGAGCACACATTTCTAAATTTTCAAAAAAGCTTTTCCCACGATATTTTGAGATCGTATTTTGCTTTCTCAAACACAAATACATAACCACAATTCCACATATTTGTGTGTGCATGGTTGCATATCCACATATGCATAGACAAACACAAACGAACATCACCCTAGAATTCTGAACATTAACCTTTCGAGACAAAACACTTGCTCACTCATGCCTGCTCATTACAGCTAAGGTTCTTGCAATTACACACAATACACCTACTTGCAAGTTGCTAGAACAACTGCATAGCCTCTGCACTCAACCATTCAATTCAATTACAAATTCACAAACAACATTAACATAACCTCTTGAGCTCATGCAACCCCAACCATATCCTCATAAAGATCTTCCTCACATCTCTGGCACTAAATGCAACAACAACAAAATGCAACCTATTTCTTATATAAATACTTGTGGCGTCATATTTTCATGACATCTTACATCAAAGAAAAATGGAAGAGAAAAACATTCTTCACTCAATCACACAAATGTTAACACTGCCACAGTAATCAAACATTTCATAGCATGGCCAGTTCTATATAGCCACACATCTATGATGACCATTGAGGCACAACCTTGGAAGGTGTTGGTGCTGCCTATCCTATTATATTCTGAAACTCCAAAGACAAAAAAAAAAACTTTAAAGCATGGGAACAAGCTTCTTGTTTTTGCCACACAGAACCATAGTCACTAACTGTTGGATGACTTAGGGAAGCCATCCAACAGTTTCGTCCACAGGTTCTTTTTTTTACGAACTTTCATATTATTATTGTACAGTTTCCTTGGTATGGATGAGATACAAAATTGTGTAGTTCAACAAAAACATACGTCTCAGACAATAGATTGGTTTGGCGATCAATTGATGATGAATTAAGAACATGACATTTCTCTACTGGGGCATCAGCCATAAAATTTTCTTTCCTTCAGGTGCGAATAGAGGACACTCAGCATAGCTCAGAATTTTGATTAAGCATATGGTTTAACCTCCAAGAATAGGGAGAATCCTCTTTTCCCCAGGCAATGACAATTAGCGAGTCACCTTGGAGGACAATGTTTGGCTCCAATTTCTATCGATCAAACATTTCTTCCTCTTCTTCTGAGGAGTCAGAAAGCTCTACAGGCTGCGAGTATGTGAGTAGGGTCTCTAATTGGTGATTTCTGCAGGTTCCGCCAATAGGGACATAGGCCACATAGGCCTATTGGCCTATAGGGCCTTTGTTATGGTTCTAAAAGCAACATTACCTACTGTAATAGCACCCTTCATGGTTCACATCACCAAATTCTTGGCTAAGGCTCTAAAAATAACCATGGAATCCTTGATGTGTTCCCTAACCCTCATCCATTCTGTGAAGATGCTTCTAAAATATTGTTAAGGTACTTCTGAAAATATTGTTTTCTTTCATTTTGAACACCCCCAAAGATAGTCAAGGGCCCATCTTCTAAAGGCAGCTTTGTTAGACAACATTGCACAAGATTGTTACCAAATTATTTTATTTTGAATAATTTTACATTGAAAAGAAGAAGGTTTAAAAGAATAAATAAATAAATAGTAATACTTACAGAAGAAAATTCAGAAAGAAATTCACATACAAAGAAATTTTGCTAAATCAGAAAAATAAAGTGCAAGGCAATTATGACATCAAGCACACTAAAAGGATGCCTGAATCTTCAATATTGTTAGCCAGATTGGGCACTCACCATATTATGATGAACGAGATGCATAAAACACGTAAATGCTAAAGGTACATTCAAATCAAATAATTTTGTAGTCAAGATGTGGAATGGCAGATTAGAGTGATTCAACTGAATCCAGGCTGACAAAGAAATAAGCAAAGGGACGCTGGAGTGACAAAATAATTGCATAATGCCAAAAATCAACTTTATTAAAGGAAAAACCATTCGATTAGAGAGACCATGGCCTTCTCTTCAACCAGCTTTCTACTAGTTAAGGATAACGAGAAACTATTTTCATTTTCTTTATTAGGTAGCAACCAGTTCCAGTGATGGTATAATAAAAAACTGTTTTTCTTGTCTTAATACTGGAGCTTCAGGAGAAGGTCTCTTATTTCCTTTCCAACTCATAGATTATCAGCGTGTTGACCAGTATAAAACCAGAGCTTACATTGATCTCCTCTATGAGAATCTAATCCCTAACAGAAGAGAACTAATAGCAACAATATGGAAAAATCAAGCACCAGAGCAATGCAAGAGATCCAAAGTCTAAAATGGCAGCACAGAAGCTCCCAATCCGAAATATAATAGAATTTTATTTCTAAAAAATAGTACATTATTGCTGTAGCTAAGTCACATGGTGCTATTGGCATCAAATTCTAGGCTTTCGAATCCTCTCTGTAGTCATTCAACTGAATCAAACAGGTTATATCACAATCGAATCCCACACAATAAACCCTAGTACAATAAATTCAGCAAAAGGTTACCTCCTACAGACCTCCATATGATACTTTTTATTTTCTTTTTATCTGTACAACTGCAACTGTTTATTTACCCCGAAAGAACTATAAGCCCTTTCCAAATCAGAAATGGTACTGACGATTCAAAATAAAATATTAAGTTTATAATGTCAACCTAGAACCGTTAAGAGAAAAGTATGCCCAAAAACACAGAGCCAGTGTATCCACCTTCAGTTAAATGAATTTAATAGTGAAAGTTATCAAAAGGGAGAACTGGTTAAGATATCAAAAGGGAGGAGAAAAAAACCAATTTTCTCGCCAGAAAATTCACAATACTGAGATCTCGCAATTTTAGGAGGAGATTTACAGAATAAAAATAAGGAAATAATTCTAATGATATAAGGAAATAGTGAATTTCTTTGGGGTAGTCTTACTTCATGATAAATATCTTCACTTTTCGGACGCCAAAATCTCCCCTTTTCTAGGGTTTATGAGGTGCGTTACCCCCATAAATTTCCTCATTTGTTCGCGATAATTTCGATATTTCCATTAGTGTTCAAGATTCCTGATAATTGCCAAAAGAGCTATAATGGATTTAATCTTACTAAATAGACCAGATCAGTGGCCATGCAATACCAATCTTAAAATCCGTCACCTTTGAGCCATGGACCAGAAGAGGAAAGAAAATTGCAGAATTCATGTAAGCATTTAAAGCAAATTCATAGATCTCTATCATTTTGACAACATCAGAAATACATGGATAGTAAATGGCCTGATAAAGGATAAAACTACGAACACCATTTTTCATAACATCATTTTTCATCAATTCACATCCATTAAATCATATCAAGCACAAAAAATGAGCAGTAAAAAGCACTTGGAAAAAAAAGAAAGAAACAGATTGGTACCTTCCATATTTGCACATATTTGCCCTAGCAGCTGCCAAACCAGTAGAACATACAACCTGACCCGATTCACTCTCAGTCTCTTCATCTCACCCATCGTTCCTCGCAAAAAACCCTAGCTACAATGTAAAACTACTCAGATCCATGAAATTCAGCCCCGAATAAGCAGCACCACCATATCCACAAAACTTCAGCTCAAAAACCCTAGCTCAAGCTCAAAACCCACCAAAACATCCACCATTCTCAGCAAAACCACCATTACCATGATCCATTCCCACCAAGCTTTTCACCAGATCCTCCAATTAGAGAACAAAACGGAGGTATCAGGGGAGCTTCGAGAAAGATCCCCTATATCCACTTTGTGTTCAGAGAGCATCAACCTAAAACACCTAATTCTCTGCACAATCTCTCTACTCTCTAGAGAGAGAAAATGTTGTTTCTTATTTTATATTTGTGGTCTCCTTAGTGAGAGAAAGAGAGAGAGACTGGCGTGCGCAGGCTGCAGCTGCCCGTAAACCACTGCCCGCTGCCCGTACCTTAGTCAAAATACCCCCTTCGCTATTAAACTAAGATTTTATATTCTCGCCCGTTTCTTTTGATTATTCCACCCAACGGCGGAAATATTCAATTTTAGGATAAATAGATCACTTATTTTTTTGGTACAAAAAATCACAATCATTTTTGTCCGTCTAATTTTTAAATCGAACACAGTTCTATGCGGCTATCCCACATATTAATTTTTAAATCGAACACAGTTCTATGCGGCTATCCCACATATTATAGAAATACGGGTTTGAAAATAAATATATTTTTTAAATATTATTTGATCCTAATTTTTAAAGAATATATAATCTTTAATGTAGAGATTATAAATATAAAAAAAAATTAAAAACTAAAAATAATAATTATATTAAAAACATTTGGACCGTTAATTACAATTGTTTTTAGATGGACCACCTATTTGTATCCATCTTTAAAATGGATGCTTTATACCTTTGGACCGCATATTGTAGCAATGTGGCCCAACCTATATGAAACAATTTTCCTTTTAAATCATAGGGTTGTAACTTGTAAGAGTATCATTGAATATACTCAAAGTTCAAAAAAAAAATTTGAATTTCATAACACAACTTCAAAATATCTAATTTGACATCAAATGACTACAAATAATTATGACCTCCTTGTAATAAAAATAAATAGTCTCATAGGGAAATTAACAAATTAAAGCATTCACTTTTAGAGAATGTCCCGAATTTTTTTAAATGGACAAGGTTTCTATAAGTCGGAGGACCCATTTATTTAAATACGTCCTCTCCTCGAAATTTATTTTAGAGGTGGATTTTAGATTCAAAAGTTAAAAGAGTGAAATGTCAACTATAATGAGTAGAAACCCTAAAAAAATAAAATTTAAAATAAAAAAAAAAAATTTAAAATGCACTACTTATTGATATGTCTTTTTGAAACTTATTGTTTTCTAAAATACATTTTGGTGCTCTAAATGTCGAACTAAGATGGTAGGCATGCAATTAAAAAATCATGTTTAGCACCGAACATTGACTTAATGCTTTGATCAGTACTCCCAACACTTAACAAAAGCTCTTTTTTAAACAAAAAGTTAGTTCAATATTGGTAGAAATTAACTAAATACTTATTTTCTCTTACAAAATTAAGTTCAATGCATAAGGAAAAAAATAAGAAACCAGTTCAGTACTACTATTATTGAGCAAGTTTTTATTAAGATAAAAGATTTTGTTTCAGTACTGGAAGTACTCAACTTAAATACATTTAAAAAAAAAAAATGGTATTTAGTAAAGCTCCCAAAAAAAAAAAGATATTTCCATTAATTTCCTTTCATTTTGATATAATTTACTAATATTTTGGGTGCAATATTGAGAAAATGTGTGTGTGAATAGCAGTAGATTGAACTAAGGCCGTTGCGGAAAGGGACGGAACCGAGGAAACCCCGTTTCGGTCAAAGAGAGGGGTTAGGTCTCCTCAACGATGCCACGTGGGATTTAGTCAAAGTTCTTTGATGGGATTCCTCTACGGTACCACTCGCCGAGTCCCCATCAAATACTCGGCGATTTGTAGGATCCGAGTTGTTGTATATCATCCGAATATGCATGAAATCTTCGCCTCCCTCACTCATGTCTGAATCTCTCTTTCGGTAACGTGGCCAGTAACTGTGGCGGGTTTGGCCCGTTAGAGTGGACAAGAAATTAAAAAAATTCAAAAAATATATAAATTCTCAAAATAAAAAAGGAAATTTGTTTGTAATAGATCTTTAATTGCTTTTTATTGTTTTGAAAAAGACTGGGAAGCATTTTGGTTGTAAGGAATTATTTTAAATTTTTTTTTTTTTTTTAAATATTTTTGGGCACGATTTGATTTTTTAACATCCATTTTCATTATTTCTTTAATCTCATTTAGATGTGTTTTATTCAATTATACTTTAAACATACTTTTCATATTTTTTTGATATTTTTTTAACCTTTTTAACCTAGTCAGGATCTGCCCAATTAAGGCCAATTATCCGGACTAGTTATGGGCTACCCGAACACTGAGAAGCTCTTTTATGTGTGTTGTTACTCGCATAGAAGCATGCTAGATGCCATTTTTTGTAGATCAAGGAGAAGGGCCTCAACTTGCGGTAGAAATAGAACTAAAGATGTCAAGTTATGGCAGTATGTACCAAGACGACTTATGCCTTGAATCCACACCTACTGCATGAAAATAAAACATTGCAAGAAGTTCCCGGGGATATAACCCCCTCATAATAGGGAAAAGCTAAAAAGGAAAATAAATCATATTAATGTAACCATCCTAAGATTAACGGTTCAATTTTCGAATGGCCATCTAAGTCTCTAGGAAATCAAAGGAAAATAAATCATATTAATGTAACCATCCTAAGATTAACGGTTCAATTTTCGAATGGCCATCTAAGTCTCTAGGAAATCAAAATTCAATTTTCCTTCTATAATCCAAAAGTTAACATCGAGAACACCATCCACTTCTACCATAGGGAGTAAATGTATAGTATGCTCTCATGTGAGCATGCTAGGTTCAATGATAAAAGATGGCCTTTTCCATGAAATAAATTTCCAAAAGATAAATAAGGCATCTCGAATGATATACACAAATTGGGGTGAAATCTTCATGTCATACTCATTTTCACTATATTTATGGGTAAAATATCAAATTAAATAGCTAGAAATTTTATTCTATAAACATAATTTTTTTCTTCAAAACCAATCATCCCTCTCCTACAACTCCCATGTGCTCACTACCCCGAACCCTCAATCATCTCCATATCCTAAAAAAATTTCAAGAATCTATCTCCAATAGCCAAATGGGTCCCAATATTATTAACAATCAGTATCAAATGGATTAGAGTTCGTATTTATATTCCAACAATTTGTGTTAATTTAGTTTAAGGAAAATTTACACTAATATCCCTTGTAATTAGCAGTACTAAAAAAATGGTTACACTAATATCCCTTATAATTAGCAATACTTAAAAAAATGGCTCTCATATTTTATACTTTATGCTAATGTCTTTGTTTTGTGTATTTTTTTATCTTTTTCAAAAGAATTTAGTTTATATATGATTGCAACTTTAAATTGTAGAATTATGGTGCACTTCAAAAATTCATTGAGAAGCTATTTTGATGCTTGAAGAGTTTTATAATTGATCATCTCGATATCGTGATGTATGTATATGAAAAACAAAAAGATTTTAATTCTAAAAATAATACATATTGCAACACATTAGTTGAGCTGTCCATTTTCAAGTTTTTCATGTGTTTATAGATATATTTTATTTTAATCATTTGTGGAGTTTAAAATTTTATAATTAGATATGAAAATATATTCTTAGGCCATCCTAAAAATTGTTTACACCAAAATTACATGTTATGATAAAATTTGGAAGTGCGCCTTACTTTGATTGTTTAAAGTTACAACCTTATGCAAAACACACCCTTTTCCAAATACCCATCTTTTCACAACTATTAGTTTCAAACGGTTTATGGTAGGGAATCAAGGTTATTTGGAACTATTAGTTCCGAACCGCTCATTATAAGGAATCGAAGCAGTTTTGAAATAACTGTTCCAAACAACCCATTGTAAGGAATCAAAGTTGTCAGATATCATTAGTTATGAACCTCTCTTATTCATTGCAAAGATGGAAGGATAGATCAAAGTGATACTGGACTAATTGTTCAGAACTCAAGGTATTTTGAGTAAAACAAAACACACACAAAGAATAAAATAAAATAAACCCATTAACAGAGAATTTTTTAAGTAAAAAGTTTATACAAAGTCGCAACCTCATGGTATTGAAGTAAGGTGCACTACAAAAATCCCACAAAAGAGAATCGTAGTCTGGATCTCAAAATATATGGGCATGAATAAAAAAAGAATTCCAAATCCAAAAAATAGAGCATTATGTAACAAGTTATCTAGACCATCCATTTTCAAGATTTTCAAATATTTATTTATTTGATCGAGCCGTACCATTTTTGAAATTTCAAAATTTATAACTAGGGATGAAAATAGATTTCCAAACTATCAAAGAGGTTTCCAACATTGGAATGATATCTCTAATCATATTTTAGACGTTCGTTGCCTTACTTCTACAATACAAGAAGGTAACCTTATGCAAACCTCGCCCTTTTTTTAATATTACAAATTAGCATGAATTTCCTTAATTTGAAGACAGATTTATAGAGTATAATCAATTTATTATGGAGCACAATTCTGAAGAAAAAGTTTGATGTGTTGCTTATTGGAGTTTTTAGGCAAGCTTTCGGCGAGAAAATGAGATTTCGTTGAAAGCTTTTCGAAAGGATAAGTGATTGATTATTATGACTCCGACAAAGAGCATCCAAGCAAGAAAATGAGATTTTGATGGCCCCGTTACAGCTCCAAGGATATTTACTATAACGGCCGTTACAGTTTAAATCTTTATTATGTATGGGCCAAATCAAATGCATGCTTTTCTAGAGACTCTCAAAAGTGCAACACGGGGTTGAAAAATGGACAAAACCATCACTATAATTGACGGGTCTAAGTTCCCTTTAACTGTTTGAAGGAGAGAGAAATCAAGGAAAGAGGAAAGAGAGAGAGAGAGAGGTTTTTCACCTTGTTTCAATCAATACAAAGGCAAAAGATTGACCAAACCACCTTGGGGACAGGACGCGGTCCATGCCCCAGCTGAGTCCGAGTTTTTCGGTGTGAGTTGGGCTGGGTCTTTCTATGGGGAAAAAGTGTTAAAAATATGAAAAAATAAAAAGTTGTCAAGAAAAAAAAAAGGAAAAAATATGTTTAAAGCCAAATTAAACAAAACACATCTAAATGAGGCTAAAAAAATAACGAAAAATGGATTTTTAAAAAATCAATTTGTGACATAGGTGTTTTAGAGATGGTGCGGTTTGTATGGAGCCTAGGCTCTAAACAATCAAATTAAAGCTTACCATCAAATAGTGTCCAGAAATGTGGTTGCAATGTTGGAAATCTTTGTGA